TTTTCACAAAAGTTAAAATTACATGCTGAAACAGACAGAGTTAATCACTTAGATAACACAATACAATATCAGAAGACTTGTAGAGTAAGAATAGATAATGAACTACATCATTAAACTAAACAATTACACAGAACTAGAAAACTGACTCAGTAGTAAAATATAAAATCTACAATTATAAATATAAATTTGGTCCATGGAGACACTAGAGCAGTATTTACAGTAAGTATCAGATTATTTCTACTTTAGGTGAATGCTACAGTTGTAAAATGCTGCATATCATAAGGAACAGTGTTTTATTTACAGTCTACTATATTAAAAGTTATATTTCTAGCAAATCTGATGATGGCTACAAATACAGCTAAAAATTTGACACTAAAAACAAACATTTTGTATAGTTGGGAATTCCTAATACCTATAAATTGAAATTTCCTGTTAAAATCAATACAGAAAAAAGTACCACAAGTCCATTCTTAGAAATACTGTAAAATTCAATCATTTTAGTTCAAACATAATAAGTGAATTACAAGAAGTCTTGCAAAAAGGCACACATTGTTAATGATGTAAATTTGGCAGCAGAATCCTATGTCATGTAAGTTACTGTCAGGTGATGGGAAGTAAACAGATAACAGAACTAGACTGATTTTCCTGTGTAATTTTAGAAAGAGGAAAACAAAGCTCAGATGTGGGCTCCCACACCCCCTTCTGTGTTAAACTAAAGACTCTAAGCTCTCAGCGATATTTCCATCAGCTAATGCTGCACCGTTACTGTCCAGAGAGGTGGATGGATTCTCTTCCTGTCTCGTGCTCACGAGGCTGAGGACCACTTTGTAGAGAAACTGATACTGCTCCTAGAGAACAGAAAATGGGAGGTCATGCATAGGAAGCTTAGCGAGGTCATAAATTTGTAAAAAGCAGGAATATTTTTAGACATACTTCAGCACTATTCACGGAAGGGCATTGTGTTAAGGGCTTTGTTATTCTCAACAGAAGTACATGATCTATGTTAATGTCTCTTTCTGATTAAATTAAAGTAACTTTTCAACTAGAGAACATTCATTGACCTAGAATATTGCCCACATACATTTGCCAATGATAAGCACTTCATTCTTATTTGTTTACTCCATGGAATCTGACAGTGATGTAACAGGGTTCCGTTAACTTACGGGGGAACACTTTGGCATTAGGCACCTGTAACCCATTCAGAATGAGTTTCTTATTCATTCTCTAGTTGTTATGAAATCCACTGGGTCTATTTATGGAGAGGTCTCAGAAATGACAGCACTGCCAGCCAGGGACCGATGTAGAATGCAGTCCTTTCCCAAGACCCACTGTTTACCAGGAAGAATTTCACACTCTGTGAGCCTGATTAGTCCTGTGCTGTGCTTTGAGTAAAGGTGACTGTGTGCTCTGCTGTGGTCTCAGAGTATTGAGGCATCGAAGAATGATGCAATTTTTCTCTTAGAGATGCCATCCCAGACAGTTTGGGGAGAGGCAGCTGCAGAGAACCCAAGCCAGTTACTAGCACCATAGAGGAAAACCATTAGGACCACATGTGATCCAGTGCATCATTAAATGTATTTGTGAAATTCGCATCTCCAGAAAGAAATTTCACACAGGACAAGCTTGATACAACGCAGCTGGCCTGAATGAGATTTTTAATACGGTCTTCTCTGAAGTGCATGTGTGCAAGGATTACCTTGACCTCCCACCAACTGGTGTGGGCTGGAGTTTTGAAGATGGACCCTATACATACATACATATGAAGACCAAGGAGCTAAAGGTGAGCCTATGACTTCTACATTCACCTAAGTTTCTCCATTGAGGTATTTACACTAAGTTCCCTATTGTGTAAAAAGCCACACGTGAGATTTAAAATTTTTTAATCTATCAATTTTCTGGAAGATAAACTTTAAATAT